AAACACCTACATAGTTTCTCCATCCGGATGAGACATTAGGGAGGCATAATTGTTAGATTGAACGAACTTACTAGTGAAGTTCGATTCTAATTATGCCCTTTTGTCTCGTCCGGATGGACGCCCTCTCGTTTATTTTGTATCTCTCCTAACTTTCCCACTCCTATGTATGGCGATTTGCCTCAAGGCTTTAAACTTATGAAGATCGATCGGGGGAATCTCTGATCCGCCAAACAGTTCTCTGGCCAAAGCATGAAACGTTGAGACAACCAGCGGATCTTCCGCATCCGGAAGTATAATGACAAGAGGGTCAGCAAAATCCACTGTGCCGGGAGCCAGACGCTCTATGTTATCGACTTGCGAAAAAACCGGCGCAGTTAAGTAGAACAAATAGAAGAGACAATCGGTTATATCCTCTCTTTACCAGGATTTATTAAATAATGCTGGGTCGACAAGAGGACATACCTGATACAGCGCCCCGGTTCGCTTGTGCGACTGGCTGCTCTTCTACAATCTGATCTGGACCCTGTAGCGTGAGCGAAGGAAGTGGTGCCGGAATCTCCTTGGGGAATACTTGAGGGCGCCCTGAGAGCGGTTCTGAAGACGACATAACCTCCTGAGAATGCTCGTTAGAATGGAGGTTATGTCCGACTTCTCTGGAAGTGATGAACTCACGCATTCGGTCGAGAATTTCCACGAGAGGACTTCGAGAAAACAGATCCTCTGGCGTACGAGAGATACGCGAGTGACGTGCACTCCACGATCTGCTTCGTGAACGATCCCGCAATCGCCTGTCCGAAGAGTAATCTCTTGGACGGTGCCTATGTGCTAGCCTTTCCTCCCTTGATTGTCTCGAGGAGGAATTCTTTTTAGATTTTTTATGCTTAGGCATGACTGAAAAGGAGAATAACACAAATTACTAAAGAAAAACTGATAATGTTAACCAGCGCACCTGTTACCAAGGCTAACGAATAGAACATAATAAAGATCGAGGGCGCGCGCAGCGCACGGAAGCACGGGCGCCACGACCACGGGCGCCACGGCACAGAGCGGCGTTTTCTTCCGAGTGGCAGGTTTTTGAATTCTGTTGCCAAGGCACGTGCAGGGGCATGAATACATAGTTTCTCCATCCGGACGAGACAAAAGGACATAATTAGGATCGAACTTCACTGGTAAGTTCGTTCAATCTAACAAATATAGCAGTTAGTTATAATTTCCAACTAAACAATATAAATGCAATATAACATGTGTGTTATATTATATAACAGTTATATTGTTGAGTGTGAAATTACAATAAAAAATTATATAACTGTTACTTGGTGTTTGCTGGGAGATTATTTTACCAACGAATCAATAGCACCTGTAACAAACTACTTCATTAATATATATTCAATAAACAGCGATATAAAAAAGCAAGAACATAAGAAATAAATAACAAATAAGAAATATAATAACATAGTACTAGTTTATTGTCATATTCACTTGGCGCACATCTCCTAATATTACTATTTTTGTAGTAAAAAATAATGTATGTTTTCAAGTAGTTTTTGTAAGGATGTTTTTATTACAGTTATTAATACGGTTTTTCCTACAACAGGTTTTGTACAAAGTTCTTTACAAAAGTTATTTTTTTTATTATAGTTATTAATACGTTTTTCTACAATACATTTTTGTACAAATAATATGTTTCTCTACATAAAATACAGTTGCAAAGTAAGGCTAATATTTTAGGACTTTTGGGCGTTAATGAGTTAATACACCGCCAATTCGCAAACTGGATAGAACATGGGTAAGAAGTAGCTAATAAAATGCTGATGTTTACGCTAACGGTCTCGAAGGAGTATTCCAGGCTTTGCCCTGTGCAAGCAACAACTTAAAATTGACTCCAGTACTTAATAATAATGACGACACTATTAACCACATTATTCTTAAACAAGTTCAGAAAGAGATACAGGTTGCGTGAAAAGTTCGCGGAGCGAAACTGAAATAAAGAATATCTAATTCTAAAAATGATTTTATTCTTTAATATAGTCTCCATTAACTTCAATACACTTGGCCCAATGGCTCTCCAATAATTTTATTCCATCGCGGAAGTGTGTTTCTGGAAGGTCTGCGAAATATGCCTCTACGGCTGCTATAGCTTCTTCATTCGACAAAAAATGCTTTCCACGGAGGAATTGTTTCAGGTTTCAGAACAGATAGAAGTCGCTGGGTGCCAAATTTGGCGAATATGGTGGATGATTAAGCAATTTGTACTTCAATTCATTGAATTTAGACATTGACAAAACACTTGTGTGAGCAGGTGCGTTGTCTTGGTGAAAAATGATTTGTTTGTGCTGCAAACCAGGTCTTTTCTCACGAATTTTTGCGTCCAATTGATCCAAAAGGTTACAATAATATTCAGAGTTAATTGTTTTACCTTTTTCCAGATTGTCAATTAACAAAATCCCTTTAGCATCCCAAAAACTGATGCCAAAACCTTTTTTGCCGATCTTTCATGCTTTGTTTGCTTTGGAGCTGAACATCCAGCTTCAGTCTACTGTAAACGTTCCTGTTTCAATTTAGTGATCAGGTGATAGATCCAAGTCTCATCCATAGTTATAAAACGACGCACAAAATCGGTTTTATTCTTCTTAAAACGATCCAAATGACGCTGAGAAATTTGCTTTCGAGCGAGTTTTTATTGAATTGTTAACGTATGCGGCACCACTTTTCCAAACACCTTTTTCATTTGTAATTCTTTATGCAAAATATGCTGTACCCGTTCATTTGAAATGCCTATGGTATGAGCAATTTCACGCGTAGTCACTCTTGGATCTTCAGTAACAATAACATGTATTTGCTCAATGATTTCTGGTGTTGACGCGCTTTTTGGACGTCCACTGCGTGGATAATCTTCAATGCTTGTACGACCACGCTGAAACTCAAGTGCCCATTTACAAATCATTGTTTTTGAAGGAGCAGATTCCCTTAACACATTTACCATCTCGGAATGAAATTCCATTACCTTTAAACCTTTTTTAACAAAGAACTCAATCACTGCACGTTGTTTTAAATTTCCCATTGCAAACAAATATACTGACACGTCAACTTCAATTGGCTTATAAACACAGAAAGAATTGACAGATGGAAATGAAACCTAACCTAGGTTCATGTGAAGAGTGATTCTATATAACCTACTACAATTTATAATTCTACCGTTTATTTATCGATGCCGCTCCGCGAACTTTCACGCAATCTGTACAGTTATTAAACTCGAAGAAATCACCTGGTTTCGACCTTGTAACAGCTCAGCTTAAGAAACTGCCAAAGAGAGAGGCATTCTCAAATTAACACATTTATATTAGGAGCGCAAAAAAGTTCTGAGCCCTAGATTTCATACTACTGAAACCACAATTTAAATTGCATTAATTTTCCCGTCCTCTTGCGGTTTTAAAGCAGTGACATTTAGTCTTTCGAAACATCGTGCGATTTGGCGTTTGATGCACATAACCTTAAAATCAGCAGTGTTCACGATGGCAATAACAAAAGAGCATATTCGATTTTCCACCCACTTCACGTTTCATCTGAAGAAAAATGCTGCTGAAGCCACTGAAATGATCTGTGTTGCATATCCCCCCCTAGGCGTCGGATAGGATAGGCAGAGGGGAGAGTAGAAGCTCGGGTTTGGGACTGGGCTCCACTCCCCCGCCCCCCTCCTCCTATGGAGGGGAGCAATGGGGGGCGCGAAGGGAGGGTGGATGCCTCCTCCCTCCAAGTAATCACCAGAAGGCCAACCCGGCTGGGAAACCAGTCGGGGAACCGCGTCCTGGACTCTCTCAGCGGGACAGGACGTGGTATTCGAGGCTGTGAGGCTCCCGGAGAGTCTTGGGACCGGGGTGTCGGGGAGGGAATACGGGAGTAGTTCCCCTGACTCCCCCCACCACGGTCCGGTTGGTAGACATCCCGCAGGGGTTTTAGTCAGTAGGAGTCTGACATAACCCCCGACCCCCCAAAAGGGTCGGGGGTATCCATGATGGATTTCCCCTGCGTTACCAAAAAAAAAAGCAGTTACTTTCCTACGCTAATATAGCAAAATAACTTGGCATAACACTCAATACCAAGCTGCGGTGAAAAGAACACATTAAACTTAAAAAGAAACAACTTAAATCAGTGAAATCTAAATTGGAGTGGCTCATTGGCAGACACTTTAAATTATCGCTCTATAACAAAATTTTGTTATATAAACAAATTATCAAACCAGTATAATCGTAAGGTATCCTACCTTGAAGATACAGTAAAAATTCTATTATCAATGAAACACAAACATTTCAAAATAAAGTGCACACGACATAATAAATGCGCTGTGGTACTGCCGAAATACCGACATTCATTGAGATCTCAAAATACGATAATTAAAGAACGTAACAAGGCTGCTAAGAGTCATCAGCAGCGTCTCTGTCATCATAACGTCTAACCATCTCGTCTACTGCGCACCCTAGGACAGATGAAGCGGTTAAAGCGAGTCAAACCTACAGACTTGTTCCTTCTCTGATTAGGGAATAACTAAAGGATATATGAGTGCAGAGCAACAGGACTTAAATGATGGTCTATTTGCAAAGTGGAGTGAATACCACTGCGGTACCAACCATTCCTAACTTTTCAACACATTTCAATACATAATAGCTTATATATTAATAGAATATTGTAAAATGGTTTAACTTGACCAGGTCGATACTGGTGAGGTCTTCTTGAGATCAATTAATTAAAAAAAAAAATATCTCTTATCTCGTGTCTCGTATTGTTTTATTGGCGGGATATTCCGAAAAGTATAATGAAGCGTATATTTCATGTTCATATTCAAAATATTAGTTTTTTTCTAAAATGTAAAAGTTACCTACAAGTCGATTTTATATTGATTTTATGAGTCAGACGTAAAAATAAATGTTGTTTGCAGTTTACACGATGATGGGTGGTGCAATCTCATGGATTTCATATATGAAACACGCAAGAGTATTCTTGGGACATATTTATTAACGAGTTCCGATTTTCTCCTTATAACACATTACATGTAGAGCTCTATATATAGAAATTACTTTGTGAAAATGTAACGAGAAAAAGTGAAATTTGATCTTAAACGTAATTCGTTATATTCTTTATTCCTTTATTGTTTTTCATTCGTTACCCATCATAATACGTACGAGTGTCATGTACGAAAAGACAGTTGAAATGTACTGAAAAACGATAGAAATCGTGTTATTTTCGATTACTTAAATTATTATTTAAACCAATATAATTTTCCATGTGAGAATGAAAAGAATCATACCGACGTGTAATAGTTCATCGACAAAGTCGGTAACACGCACGGTATTGAGATGGTGACCGGGCGTTGGCACCTCAATATGACGTATATCAGGATTTTTTGTGAAGCTGGATCATCATTGTACCACAACGAATTGTAAGCGGCCGTCGCCACGTCGCCGCTCTATTGAGAACATGCGGAAAAATGAACATCGGTAAACATACTTTATGATAGTTTCCGCAATTTGTCTCGTATGATTCGAACGACTAACCGTGCTCATTACGTTATCCGCTGGCCAAGCGTACATGTAGAGCTCCACGAAGGCACACAGAGCTATCATGAGGAATGGAGCCTTCACTGACCACGAGTGACGCTATTCATATATAAAAATGGAAAAGATATAACAGGCATATGTGGTTATTGTACGTGTTGATGAAACGCTTCAGAGATTTTGATGATAAATCGTTATAAATGAACGAATCGAACGCAAGGGTCGCATAATATCACGCGAGATAACGTAACGTTTCTGCATTTCCACGAGAATCGTTGACTCGACTTACGCTCATGAAGGTCAGACAGCCGAATATTACAGCACCGGTACTGAAGGTTACGCATAACAGTGCTATATAACGGATCGCGAGTGTCACTTCCTTCGCATACCTGCAAATGGAGACAGAGAGAGAGAGAGAGAAAGAGAAAGAGATATATACATATCCTGGTGCGCAACTAAGTTCCGGGTTTCACACATGCATGGCACTAACGACACATATAGTCGACATACATGTCTGAAGTTGTATATTTTTATAGGACATCTGTTAGCAATAACCAGTCGTAATACCAACACATATCGCAACGCAAAAATATTTTTTCTAACAACGAAGATGTCGAGCTTTGTGCTAAATAAACAGCATTTGTAGGAAGCTTTGCTTTTCTGCTTTAACTTGAAAAAAAGTGCAGCTGAAGCACATCGTTTGCTTGAGGAGGCCTACGGCGAACATGCACTATAGAAAACTACCTGTGAAGATTGGTTTAAACGCTTCAGAAGTGGCGATTTCGACACTGAGGACAAGGAGCACTCCGGAAGACCAAAAACAATTAAGGACGCCGATATGCAAGCGTTATTGGATGAAGATGATACGCAAACACAAGATCAACTTGCGGAGGCATTAAACATGACTCGCCAAGGTATTTCCAAACGTTTACATACCATGGGAAAAATTCAAGAGGAAGGAAAATGGGTGCCGCATGAGTTGGCTAAGAGACAGATGGAAAATCGAAGAGCCACTTCCGAAATTTTACTTTTGCGGGATGAAAGAAAGAGTTTCCTGTATCGAATTGTTACTGTCGATGAGAAGTGGATATATTTCGAGAATCCCAAACGTAAAAAGTCGTGGCTTTCACCTGGCGAAGCATCAACATCGACGGCACGGTCAAATCGCTTCGGAAAGAAGATAATACTCTGCGTTTGGTGGGACCAGAAAGGAATCGTGTACTATGAGCTGCTGAAAAGAAGCCGGGCGAAACTGTCAATGGGCATCGCTACCGACAACAACTGATCAATTTGAACCATGCATTGCTTGAAAAACGGCCAGAATGGGACACGAGACACGAACGAGTGATATTGCAGCACGACAACGCTCCGTGCCATCGCCCATCGTCCAGGACACCATCAAAACACTGAAATGGGATTTGCTACCGCATCCGCCGTATTCCCCAGTCCTGGCCCCTTCCGATTGTCACTTGTTTCGGTCGATGGCACATGGCTTGGCTGGGCAACACTTGGCCAATTTCGAAGAAGTGCAAAATTGGTTGGATGAATGGTTCCGGTCCAAAGACGCGTCGTTTTATCGTCGCGGTATTCATGTATTGCCAGAGAGATGGCAAAAATGTGTAGCTAGCTAGGGACGATACTTTGAATAAACCATTTTTTATATTTCTCTTAAAATTTTTCATTTTTCATTGATTAAAAAAACCCGGAAATTTAGTTGCGCACCTAGTATATTCACTTTCAGAAAGTGCTATCTTATTATTTATTTTGAGATTGTACAATTATAGCGATTTTCTCGTTTTCTTTTATTTCAACGATTCGTATTTTATTTTAGCATCTTGAATTTGGAATCTTAATGTTACATACCTGAGTAACCTATAATGCTCTCGTATGCACCTGTGCAGCTCCTTCACGTTTGTCACTGCGCGGAATCGCACGGACAGAATGTCGAATTTCGCGGCTACAAACCAAAGTAGGAGGGCCGGGAAAGTATTAGCGCTAACTTGTATCATACATTGATAAGCGATTATTACGTGATGCATGTAGACAACGGTTCTCAGCGGCTGTTGTAACGCGTCGAACGGATACTCCGTGTCACCTGGGAATGGCTGCGGCAAAAACAGTGGTCCGACGGCCATACTGGCTGCAGTCATCGCCAACCAGATAAGAATTGTACCTACGGTAATTAAGAAGTAAGGCAAATAGCGCTCACGATTTGTACAAGATGCGATTCCGTACAAGAATCATTTACAGTAGATATTATTATACAGGATATTATTATACAAGAAAAACTAGACTTTTGGTACTAGACTTTTCTGCTCTATTTAATCTCAAGAATATATTGTTATAATAGCGCCCTGACTTTTGTTAACTTACTCACTTTTGGAAATTTCGAAATTATCAAATTAACAAAAGTTAGGGCGCTATTGTAACAATATATTCTTGAGACTCAGTAAAGCAAAAAAGTCTAGTACTACTTTTTTCCGACAAATAATTGACGAGATATCGTGAGTTAAATATCGAAAAAGTTATCAAATTTTTCTTAAATATCTCAAAAAATATTAGGCAAATAAAAAATGTTTTTTGAGACAAAAATTGTTTAAATTAATTGGTAGAAAAAAATAGTGTAATAAAAAATTGGAGTTTCCATTTAAGAAAAGTAATGATCAGTGAAGATCTCGGTGTCATTTGTAAACAAAATAGTATAGTTGTTTTATGTCCTTGAAATTGTACAACTTTTATCTGAAACATTTTTGCTGAAAATGTTTTGTTGAAGAATTATCGAGATGCGTTTTTTAAAATGGGACTTTGTATAGGATATCCGGGATATTTTGAAAACGAAAAATTGTGAAGATTAATTAGATCAAACGGAGAAGAAAACTCATGTACCATTTTGTAAAAATCATAATAGTTATTAAGTTGTTAATTAAAACGTATGAGTCAATGAGTGCACGGGAAACGGTAGGCAGGACTGGATAGAAATATGATGACAATAGACAAGACAAATAACTTACTTCTGAATATTCGTAGCAAAGACAATCAGCTGAATAAATAAGACGGATCAACACATTAAATCCTTTCTTCGTCTTCAATGGCAAGATGCACTAACGCACCAGCTGGTTCTATAGTTGTGAGCTAAACACCAAGTCTCACGTAACTTTTGCACTGCACGTAAAATCTCTTTTCTCGATAAATGTCTTGCATGTCCAGGAAGACATTTTGCATAGATGTGAGCTGCAGCACGCGCATTTTCGCCCGTTAGCCCGTAGGCAATAATTATATTGTGTATTTTTCTGAAGAAAATTTTAGTTTTTGTTGTGGGGAAGCACTACGCGTATCAAACAATTTCACGTGACTGAAGACGTGTCCTTCGGATACATGCGGGTCGCAAGATACAGTGATCATCTTTGTTTATGATTGTTGTCTACGACAATGATCCAACGGACACGTTTTCAGTCGCGTAAAATTGTTTAACACGCGTCGTGCTCTTCGACGACAAAAAATGAAATTTACTCCAGAGGAATACACCGATATGATTATTGTCTACAGAAGAAAATGCAAAAGAAGATGCGTGCCGCAACTATCATCTATGCGGAACGATTTCCGGGCGTGCAAGACATCTGTCGACATAAGTGGGACTGGGTGTTTAGCTCACAACTATAGAACCAGCTGGTTCGTTAGTGTATCTTGCCATTGAAGATGAAGAAAGGATTTAGTGTGTTGATCCGTCTTATTTATTCAGCTGATTGTCTTTGCTACGAGTATTCAGAAGTAAGTTATTTGTCTTGTCTATTGTCATCATATTTCTATCCAGTCCTGCCTACCGTTTCCTGTGCACTCATTGACTCATACGTTTTAATTAACAACTTAATAACTATTGCGATTTTTGCAAAATGGTACATGACTTTTCTTCTCAGTTTGACCTGATTAATCTTCACTTTTTCGTTTCAAAAATATCTTAGACACTCTATACAGGGTGGGGAGTTATAAGTTTATAACCCGAAGTGTGAAGGTAGGTTGCGTTAAGATAAACATAAAAGTGCCATACCGTTTTGCGAGATTCGCAATAATTATCGAGTTATTAATGACACATAATAAACAGAAATCTGAGGAATGGGAGCGCGCCGACATAGATGATTGGAGAAGCGTTGCAGCTATTCAGGCCACAGCGCGGCCCACTTGATCCAGCAACTATTGACGACGTGCGGCGAGACGTAAATCCGGCGAGATAAAACAACGAATAGCGGCGCATTGTGTTTCCTCTCGGCGCGCACCGGCAACAGTTGCTAGATCGACTGTGGCTTAAGCAGCTGCAACGCTTCTCCAATCATCTATGTCGGCGCGCTCCTACTCCTCAGATTTATGTCATTAATAACTCGATAATTATTAAGAATCTCGAAAAACGGTATGGGACTTTTATGTTTGTCTTAACCCAATCTACCTTCACACTTCGGGTTATAAACTTATAACCCCCCATCCTGTATATTAGGAGGTTGCATTGAAAGCTATTGTTTTTTGTGTTTTTTGAGCATTTATTTCAGTAACAAAATGCATGAATACATCAATCAAATTATTTGCTCTCGGAAACTATGGGTTTTCTTTATTTTTCTGGCATAAGCTGAATTTCGTAACGAAAGAACGGTCTTTTGAGTCAATTCATTCAGCAACCCAATTTTCGACTTCTCCATAATTATGAAAATGTGTATCTTCCAAAGCGTGTTGCATCAATTGGAGCAAATGGTAATCGCTTAGGGCCAGATCCGGAGAATACGCTGAGTGAATACAGAAAAACCTTTTATTCGAGTTCCAACAGTGTTTTTTCACGTCTATAGTAACATAGGGTCGAGCGTTGTCATGGAGAAGGACCACTTTTCGACAATTTGATGCAATGGATGGTGCATCAAATTATCATTCAAACGCTCCAATTGTCGATAACCCAGGTAGAACAAAAAATCATAATAATATAATTATGATATAAAAAAAAGTCATTTTAAGACAAATCAAGATGATGTCATTTGATATAGCTTTCGTGATCGTTTGGTGATGTTTTTTTGATATTGAAATGACGCTATGGTGACTTTTAAAACTGTACATTAAAATAGAAAGTCACAATAACATCAAATTAACATCAAAATGACAAGAAAATGATCTAATCATTATTACAAAGTGAGTTTTTATAGTCTTTTGTTACTCATTTTGAAGTCATTGTGATTTTTTGTTTAAATGATAATATAGCTTATACCCATACATATACAATGTCCGAAAAACATTTTAGAGATATCATATTTCTAAAATGCTTTTTGGACATGTATATGTATTTGTGTATGTATTTATACATGTATTTGTGTATGTATGGGTAAAAAAAATAGGATAGAAGATGTGAATGTGAATATTTGGGTATTATTTTGAGAGGTTTCTTGGGTGTTATTTTGAGGGTTTTCGTTGAGCATTAACCCTCATTTGGGTGTAACCTTCAATTGACGATCCGAAATCATACTCTTTGAATGTTTTATCGATGTATAACATCCAAAATTGAGTGTTTATTCAGTGTATAACACTCAAAGTTGAATGTTTTTGATCGGTGTTTAAGACCCAAAGTTAATTTTTTAATACCCAAAGTTAAGCATTTTTTGAGTGTTAACTAAAATTGAGGTTTTTTTTTCATAAGGATTAATATATCAGGTGTAGTAAAAAGAAATCCATTATTTTTGCATGAAATTGAAGGCTTTAATTACCATAGTTAGAATGATCCGATTTAGGTCAAATATGCGCCGTTTTGTTCGATAACTTGTTGCCATTTTGAAGGTAATTTCATTATGCCTCTCTCATAGAAGCTCTCGTCCCTAAAAAAAATTGAGGAAGTAGATTTTCACAAGCCTCTCTTGAAGCGAATTTTTCACCGGCAAAATTGTTCGCCATGGACAGGAACAGATGGTAATCACTTGGTGCCAGGTCCGGACTATAAAGTGGATGCATAAGAACCTCCCAACCAAGCTCCCGGAGCTTCTGGCGAGTCACTATCGATGTGTGTGGCCTGGCGTTGTCCTGATGGAACACAAGTCCTCTCCTATTGGCCAAAGCTGGCCGCTTCTGGGCGATTGCTTCCTTCAGACGGTCCAATTGTTGACAGTACAGTTCCGAGTTAAGAGTTTTGCCGTAGGGGAGCAGCTCATAGTAGATAATTCCCTGCCAATCCCAAACACACAGCAAAACCTTCCTGGCCGTCAATCCTGGCTTGGCCACCGTTTCCGCCGGCTCACCGCGATTCGACCACGACCGTTTTCGCTTGACGTTGTCGTAAGTGATCCACTTTTCATCACCAGTGACCAACCGCTGCAGAAATCGATTTTGTTGCGATTCAGCAGCGATTCGCAGATGGAAATTCGGTCCATGAGGTTTTTTTTCGTTAACTCGTGTGGCACCCATACATCGAGCTTCTTTTTGTACCCAGCCTTATTCAAATGGTTCCAATCGGTTTTTTGTGCAATCTTTAGCTCTTGGGCAATCGAAACAGTGCTTACATGATGGTCGGACTCGACAATGTCCATGATTTTATCGATATTTTCGACAATTGGCCTTCCAGTGCGTGGTGCATCTTTTACATCGAAATTACCGGAATGGAATCGACGAAACCAAAATTGCGCGTGATTGGTATGCGTGTTACAGTATCAGGACCATAAACACTATTCACATTTTCAGCCGCCTGGCTTGCGTTTTCTCCTTTACCGAAGAAAAACTGTAAAATATAGCGTATTTTCTCTTTGCTAGTGTCCATCTTTGACGCACGCTCAAACAAAACTGAGTCAACTAATCACAAAACTGTCACAAAAGTTTTTTTAGTACGAAATCTCATCTTTCTAACGCCATCTAATGGAACCCGATCGGACTTATACAATGCGAGATACAGATAACTAAAGCCATCTATTGGAAAAATAATGGATTTCTTTTTACTACACCTGATATATACGAGAGTTGTCCAAAAAGTAATGCACAGCACGCTCTAGCGGGCGTTGTAGGCAACGTAGACAGCTGATCAAAGCATCAGTGTGTAGATTGAAGTCTCAATAGCACGTTGGTATCATGGTAGTGGGATTCGTTTAAAGGGAAAATGCCAAAAATTCGGAAAGACAACGAGAATAGTCCGTCGAGTCGGATTTCAGCAACAGAGCAA